TGAAAATAAATACAAAAATCGAGGTTGCTTTCTACAGGAAACATATTTCTGTCGGTTGATAGTAAGTGTTGAGCAATTGTATTGATGATATCTGAGAACATACATATTTTTAAAAGATGCATTTCAATCAAAACAACATTCAACTTTAAATTCCCGCCCTTAAAATTATAATATATATCAAAAAAAAATAGCAATGAGAAGCATAACGTCCAAACTACCTACAGGGTAAATCTCAAAACAGTTTGAATAAAAGTAAATTTGGACAATTCTTGGCTGAAAACCTTATTCCATTCGACAATATCGTCTTACCAAATAACAGATAATCTTCACACAGATGTAACTTTAAAACATTAAAAAAAAATCAATTTTCTCCTTACCTTCTGATAACATTAAATCAATTACAATCGTACCCTCTGATAATATTAAATCAATTTCTCTCTACCTTTTGATAATATTAAATCAAGAACATCTCTACCGTCTATAATATTAAATCAGTTACCTCCCTTCCTTCTGATAGTATAGAGGATAATGTCTATACAGATGTTTAGTATTTGTTATAATATCGGTAGAAAGGATATATTTGAAATAAACATATACCAAAGTGTGAATATTGCCACTTTTATTCAAAATTAAAAATAAAACACGGATTTTGATATGAATTTTATTAAGAATAAAGATAGTTTATATTCGTTAATGAAGATGAAAAAAAAACATTACTTATGATTTTTTTTTTAAATATTTTTGAGGCCACGATGGGTACCATATCTGATTAAACTCCTTGACCTTTTTTTAAAAAAAAAAACAACTAGAAAATAAAGATTCATTAGGCCAGGGATCCTTATATCCAATACGTAATTACTCCGTAATCAATTGATATTATTTTGCCATTTTGTAATTTATCAGACAAAGGGTATGCACTTGATAGTATTTATCATCGACGGTTATCTACATTTTAACAAAGCAGGCTTGCTGTTAGCTTCTTAAAATGCATGGTTGGTTGCTGCATTAATAAAGAAACATAGAAAATATTGGCATACCAATGGAATACATTGAGATATGTACCATACATAGTATATGTATTTTCTTTTTAATTTTTCCTATTGATTCGTTATGAAAAGTTTTGAAAATGCTAAAATTAAATATCGGTCGGTCTGATGCTTTGCATCAATTTAAAGGAAGTTTAGATTACTCTGAAAGAGGTTCTCTTTCAACGGTTCAATTTTTTATGGGACACACAAATAAAAAAAATTCCTTGGTGCTCTTTTTCTACACAGGGAAAAGTGGCTCGCATGATTTTCATGCGATTGCCTTTTCGCATGAATTTCGTGCGAAAATCATATAAAAACCATGCGAATATTTCCACATGCGAATTTCATGCGAATGTCCTCATATAATATTTATGCGAAATTCATGCGATTTTCATGTGACTGAAATTTCGCATGATATTCATGCGAATTCCAAATTATCAGTTTTTCATGTAAAAATCGTGCGAAATTCGCATAAATATTATGCGATATTCATATACACAAGAGAAAAGCAATGAACAAAGAAATTGAACATTTCAATATTTATTTAGGTTTTTCTGCCACATCAAGTGATAAAAATTGCCAGTCTCTGATATCATATTGCTTGGATGTTCCTGGGTAATCCATTGACTTTAATGATTGTTGTGTTTACAGGCAGTTTTTCAGTACGTCTTTCTTTCAGTCTTGTGTCCTGACAAGTGTTTCCTACAAAGATTATTAATTAATTAATTATTTAATTATTATATTAATTATTATAAAATACTATTACCCATACTAATATTCCAATTGTTTAGGTCAAAGGGACCAATTCCTAGATTAGAATGACATTAAATACAATAAATTCAATGATATCACTTGAAAAGTCCATGTTTTGGCAACTTGAATTACTGAGTACTGTATAATCCCTATTAACCACCCCTGCCCCTATTAGCGCCCCTTGGGTATTTTTCAATTGTCAGGAAATAAGGGCCCCCCCCTGTACGGTGATTAAAATCATCTAGAATCATATAAAAAAAATGAAAGTGAAAAGAAAACTTGTCTATTAACCGATTTCTTAGTGGAAAATGAATATTAATTTAGCATTCGGTTGAATTATCTTCACTTTCAGTAAAGTTAGAAATTATTTTAGTGGTTCTTTGTATTCATTTTTTATTTTCAAAGGATTTTTTAAGTTAAAATATGACATTAAATATCATAAAGACTATACCAAAATAACCGCCCACTTTTTGCAATTTTCTAAGGGCCCGGGGCGGTTAATAGGGATTATACGGTATGTTAAATGGTACTATAGTTTAGAGCGAAACAGAAAAGACCATGTGTTTAACAGATTCATAACTGCATATTAGACTTTAAAGGGATGTGTCAGACACCATACAGTGTGTTATTGACCTAGCGAATCTATATATCGGGCTGCTATTGAACCATAAATGAGATAAACATTTTCATTTTAATTGTGATGTTCCAGTTGGATGACAATAAACATGTAATTGATGAATTTTTAATATATTACAGACAACAGTAAAATACTGAAAAGATTGATTTTTTTAAAATCTGCACAGAATAATTAGAATACCTCAACTGTGAATAAATCAAATGCAATATATAGTTACACTTTTTTTGCATGGACCTCAAATTAAGCCCCTAGAAGATTGAACCTTTTGTTTGACCTATGTCTAAATTATTTTATAGGATACACTTGGTCTATAAAAGTTGTGTTTACATGTGTCAGAACAAAAACACTGTCTGTGTGTTGTGTTATGACACATATGTAGAAACTTGTAATGACAATTAGTTTAAATAAAAATAACCTTAAATTACTTACTCAAAATTTAGTAAACCTTCATATAGATGTCACTAAGCATAAAAAAGGACCAGTCGATTCACCTGACTGCGTTACGTAGAACCTGAAATGAGAACGCAATCCGAATTTACTCTGAAAGATTTCGTTGCAAGTTGAATTATCAATAAAAATGTGCATTATTACCACAAAATATGACCAAAAAATCAACAAAGCATACATATTTACCATTATTTCAAAGACGTATACCACAATCAGCCAAAAGGAAAGTCTAGAACAAACCATAGAAAGGAGCTCTTGCTGACTCGGATTTTTTTTTTCTGTAAGAGGAAGTGCAAGTAGAACCTGGCTAATCGGTTTCGTATTCATCCAAGAATCGGGAAATACCTTAATCTTTGTAAATATTAGTCGTTCAAATTTTTATCTTAAAAATGCATCTCCACTTCAAAGACGAACGCAGATGACTAAGTGATATAAATTTACTCTATGCTTTATGGAACCAAAGCTAGTTCTTTTATGGAATGCCGTACGTCACAAATTACGTCATCATGCGACTTAGAAAGCAGAAAGAAAGAAAGAAAGAGCAGAATGTTTTAAACTCCATATTTTCTGTAAGTTTTTAAGATTCTCATCTTCTTTTTATATCAGACGGATGTAATAACTTTATTTGGGAAATATTTGTTGACAGCTTAATAACAGATCTATATGAGATTCAAGTGGATCTAACAGTAACATTATCTATGGTAACGGCATAACGTTATGTGTTGAAAATGAAAGATGGGCCTAGTTCAGCAGTGTACAGGTTCTCTGCTTTTCTTACAATATTATTGGCCTATTGATAGGCCTAATGTTTTAATGTGTTTTTAATTCCTGCTGCATTGGGTCAATGGGATCTAGTATATAAAATTAAACTGCAGCAATCAAATAACTCACGTAGCATTTGGGGGGGGGGGGGGAGGGGGGTTGTAGATAGAATGTTGATGTTCTATTGTTAAAATGATAAAAATTAATGTCCTACGTACCCGTTGAGGGCTTAAGATTATTCTAACTACGGTGGTAAATTGCAACCCTCCCGTTTGGATTTGCATAAAAAAAAGGAATAAGAAGAGTTAAGTTTCAAATTTTTGTTTGTTTGTGTTTTTACCATAGAAAATGTTCAGTGAAAAGCTAATGTTGTAGGATAGGATTCTCAGGTTCTGAGATCAATATTTTCCTTTCTTTTTCAAAAACTTTTCAGGTAATCCATACAAATATTTTTTCCTATAGTTTTATATCAACCTCCTCCTTTAAAAACCATACCCCACCCGGTATCCTATTGAGTTATTTAACTACATGCAGGTGTAAAATGTACATTATAATACCCCCCCCTTTGAAAAAATCCTTCCACCCCTCAACAAAAAAAAATACCCCACTGTCCTGTCCACAAGTACCTGCATGTGCATGTGCATTCCAAAATGTATACAGATATAAAAAGGCTTACTTACATCTGGAATGCAAGACAGAAAGTCCTAGTCACTTCCCTAAAATGAGTCGTACAAAATATTTATTAATTCGAAAATATTTATTAAATGTTGTATTCTATACTCACAGGTATAATTTGCTGGTTATAAGCAGATCTATGCACGAGACTCCATTATACCACACTGATAGCTTCTCAAAGATTATAAATATGATACATGTAAGCAGGTAAGAAAAAAAACTAAGAGAGAAATATTTTTTGCAGAGCCTGTGGTATACATTGTTTGTTATTACGTGCACAATCAATAACAATTTTGTTGTTACGTGTATAACAATTTTGTTATTACATGTATACATGTGGCAAAACCTTAACCATTCAGCTTATATTTGCTTATCTTGCATTTCTTTAATGTAAATTCATGTATATAATCTTCGTTAATTTATAGAATACATGTTTTTGATTTAAATAAAGTGACAAAGAGATAATGAACTAAATGTTATTGAACCTACAGTACCTGACATTTTTTATTTTCTCTGTATAGGCATGCACAGTTACTTGTCATCACAAGGATCAGATTTCAAGTACCAGAGTAGTCCTAACTCCTAAATTTTCCCAATTTGTCAAAAGTACATGTAAGTATTTTATAATATTTTTTGTTAGCTCACCTGAGCCAAAGGCTCAAGTGAGCTTTTCTGATCAAAGTTTGTCCATTGTCTGTCTGTCGTCGTTGTTGTTGTCATTAACTTTTCACATTTCGACTTCTTCTCAAGAACCAGTGGGCCAAATTCAACCACACTTGGCACAAAGTATCTTTAGGTGAAGGGGATTCAAGTTAGTTCAAATGAAGGGCCATGCCATATCAAAGGGGAAATAATTCAGAAATAATGAAAATTTGATGGTATGATTTAAAAATCTTCTTCTCAAGAACCACTGTGCCAGGAAAGATGAATCTTACAGAGAAGCATCCTCAGGTAGTGTAGATTCAAGTTTATTCAAATCATGACCCCCAGGGAAATGGCCACATGTGTATTTTTTATTGAAAGACCTTTCACTAGATACCAACAACCTTGACCCTTTGACTTTGACCTTGTAGATTTCTGTACCTGTGCAAAACTTGAACCTTGGAAATAACTTTTGAACGGCAAGGGATACGGTTTACCATAACTTTCAAAGGGTTAGGGCTAGTGCTTTCATATTTTACATATTTAATTCTTGTGACAAGACCTTTTATTTGATAACAAGAACTTTTGACCCTTTGACCTTGACCATGGAGTTTGACCTACTTTTAAAAGAAAATTAACCTTGGCCATAACTTCTGAAAGGTTAGGGCTAGGGCTTCCATACTCTACATAAGTAATTCTATGTGGCAAGACCTTTCATTGGATACCGATTTTTGTACTTATTGAAACAAGAGGCCCATGGGCCACATCGCTCACCTGAGTAACTTGGGTGATGCAGATCTTTACCAGATTCCCCCTCTTCCTATACAAATCATGCCCAACAACCCCCTTCCCTTTTTTATTTAAAAACTTTAGAATCTACACTACCGAAGGATGCTTCCACATAAGTTTCAGCTTTCCTGGCCCAGTGGTTCTTGAGAAGAAGATTTTTAAAGATTTGTTCTATATATTTCTATGTAAAAATTTGATTCCCTATTGTGGCCCCGCCCTACCCCGGGGGTCATGATTTTAACAATTTAATATTTACACTACCCAAGGATGCTTCCACATAAGTTTCAGCTTTCCTGGCCCAGTGGTTCTTGAGAAGAAGATTTTTAAAGATTTGTTCTATATATTTCTATGTAAAAATTGGATTCCCTATTGTAGCCCCGCCCTACCCCGGGGGTCATGATTTTAACAATTTAATATCTACACTACCCAAGGATGCTTCCACATAAGTTTCAGCTTTCCTGGCACAGTGGTTCTTGAGAAGAAGATTT